GTCTGGATAAAATCAATTATTTCAAAGTGTAGAAGAAATAATTAGATGTGGAAGGTATATCCGATAGGGAATTCAGAGTGCACTCATGATCGAAACGAAATATATCAACTTCTCACCGCCTAAGTTTATTAAAACTGTTAATGATTACATGCCCAAAGAACTTTCCTAGCTTTTAATGTTGCTTGACCATGGCAAGAAAGAAAAGAAAAGCACCATACCTGAGCTCAAACCAACCACGGCCATGAGTAATATCTTGCCGCTTTCCTTCTGTCCATTTACCGGCTATTAACTGCGTACATTTACATCATGCCTTGCCGGAAGATCAATATAATCGAAAACAGTCAAAATAACCAACAAATACGAATTGAACAAGTATAGCCAGTTGCCGCACAAGAAGTAAGGAATGTTCCGACAGCAACCATTTGAAAAAAGTTTTTCCGGTTAAATAAGGTAGGAACTTGCAGAGTGAAAGCTAGTTATACTTGAAATGTCGAGGATATTGCAGTAGATTCAAGTTAGCGCCATCAATTGAGCTGAGTGCCATCAAGTTTCAGTCTAAAAATCGAAAAGTTTCAGATCAATTTTTCTCAGCACAGGCTATTTAAGGTTTTTTGAGAGTCGGAATAACATCCGAAGGGCTGTAATCTGATACATGTAAACAAAATGGGGCGTGTGATCAAATGTCATTGAGGAAACGTCATACAATTTTAAATTCTACTGATTCAGTCACTCAGGAAATCGCGAAAAAGTTTGACTCAAAAACGGACTACCAAAAGCTAGAAAGCCCAAATAAATTTGCCAATTGAGACCCGATTTGGAAGAAATGTAACCTTTTAAAAGCCGCATAATAATCATAATAATAGTAATTGTTTTCATATCAGAAGTGAGGTTATTCAATAGACATAAGTCATTTTTAATAATATTGATATGGAAGGACATCAAAAAGCCTGATAGGCCTAGTCAAGTGACGCTTTAAATAAGCAGTACAATTTCATATTTCTAGGTACTAATAAGTTTCAACTATAAGGTACTATTAGTTGTCTCAACCCTACAGTCCAAGTTTTAGAAAAAAAGATCTATCATTTCTTTAATTGTGATGTGTTATCGTGTAAATCATAGTATAAGTTTTAAATCGACTTTAAAGTTCTTACTTCTTTGAATCTTTAAGATTACTGGCTGTATCAGAAATGTCTGCAGAAAATTTGTATAAATTGAACTAGTTTTCTAATTTGTACAAGTTTGCTCTGAGGATTTTGATGGTGAAATTATTCGTTGGTTCGATTTTTTAACACTTCTATATTGCAATATCTCAATCTTTGAGTCCGAAATTGCTCTTTTTTTGAAATTCAGTGTCACAATTTTACGTAAAAGCTCAACTCCTGTTTTGAAAAGCTCATAAAATTGCAAATCTTTCACTGAGCATACCTTGTATGTTTCTTTAGAGTAGGTTACCAACTGATATCTTCATTTTTTTAACATTATTCTCAGATTTTGGTTTTGCTTCTTTTCAAGTTTTTGTTAAGATGTTTCATTGGCTGTGCATTCATTATGACTCCATAGCGCAGTATTAGCTGAATTTGACATAAATAGGTACTAATTGGGTTATACTAATTGGGACCGAACTATAGCAAAATTTGAGTATCTATGCATTTCTTTGACCCATCTGTTTGGTGGGTTGCTGTTGGTTTGGAAAATTTAAAATATAATCATTTAGACAGTCTTTGCATACTTTTATAATTTGCGGTTTTAAATGTTCACGATTGAAGTCTCTGCAGAGAATGTGTTTATCATCGGCACCTACATAATTTAAATCCAAGTAAATTTCCAGGCTCTGAATTGAACTAATCAATTTTAGTTCAAGACTCAAATAAAACACCGTGAAAGTAAAATTGTTTTTTTTTTTCGAGTTAATTCTGATAGTCAAAAATTGTTACTCGACTTAAGTAAAACCATTGATGCGCTTAGATTTAGTGCCTTTTTGAACCAAAAGCTTCATCTCTCATATCTCGCCTTTGACTTTCCCGTATGTTAGATGAGGCATTCTTTTTTCGATTCCGTTTTTACCTATGTTTTTGTTAGTGCGATAATTATTGGTTCACAATCTTATGTACTCAGATAAAGCTGTAGTTGGTCGATTTTTTCTTTACCGATGTTTTCATTTTGTAAAACACATACTTTTCACATGATTTTTAGTATAAACATGCGCCTGTAATCATATACGATGTCTTGCTCAAACATTATGTGTTTGTGAAGATTGCATTTTACATCGTTTGAAGCTTATTAACCCTCAAAACGTTTCCGTTTAATCTTTGAAAAGATTTTATTGCTACATTTGAGGATGACTTTTCAAGTAAAAAAAGGAATGCATGCAAACAACGGCTGAGGAGAGCTTTTTTCAGTTTTGTTTTAACTTTTTTAATCTTTTTTTCAAGTTTCTCTGCTGAGAAGATATTTTGAACTTTTAGTTTTCTTTCTAATTATTTGAAAGTTTGTTCAACCTGAGCTAACCCGCGGATATTGCAAGGTACTCAAATACTTTTCATTGGTAGCGATGCATCTTGTAAATTCATTTAGTTTTAATGATATCGTTAAAGAGACTAATTTTTTGAAACCAGTGTTTGAAAAGAAAAATTTCAAACTGAGTATATGCAGTTTTGAGTTTCCGCAAGTGTCGCAAAACCTGCTTTCTTTCATTGAAGTTTGAAATCTGTGTTTTTTTTTCAATTTGAGGCTCCCCGTGGATACCACAAGTTCTCTGTCTACAATATTGTCGCATACTTTTTGATACAGTAATCAAGGTTTTCAGCTATATCTGTCATATGCCCATTACTTCTGACTCCGCTTGTTACAAACCTCTACAAAACTCCTTTACTGCTTGTTGGCATTTAATCAGATCCAAATAGCGCAAAAGATCTCAAACGTTCATAGAAAATTAGAATAAAGGGGTCTATTGTTTCTGGTTATTGAACCTTTGCTAAATTATCTGTTCGCGACAGATTTTTTTTTAAAAAATTCCAACCCTTTTTCAAAAAAGTTCGTTCTCTTTCTAATCGTAAGTTTTCAATTTCTCTTAGAAAAGTAATGGAATTAAATCGATTCGTAAACTTCCGTGCTTGGCAAATCGAAGAAATTCTTTTTAACTTGCTGGTTACAATTATTGTAAGTCTTAAGCTTCATAACTTTTGCTTAGGAGTTGAATACTTTTGTCTTTTTGTTTTTATTTCAGAATTTCAATGAATGAAACGCAAAAAAGAATCTCGAAAAGCGTTCAAAACGCGAAAGACATTACCGACCTTCTCTTTTGATGATTAGCTCATTAGCTTTTCTTTTCTAACAAAAACACCCCTCTTTGCTTTTTACTATTTCTTATTTCCTTTACTTCGAACTCCATTACTTCTGACTCCGCTTGTTACAAACCTCTACAAAACTCCTTTACTGCTTGTTGGCATTTAATCAGATCCAAATAGCGCAAAAGATCTCAAACGTTCATAGAAAATTAGAATAAAGGGGTCTATTGTTTCTGGTTATTGAACCTTTGCTAAATTATCTGTTCGCGACAGATTTTTTTTTAAAAAATTCCAACCCTTTTTCAAAAAAGTTCGTTCTCTTTCTAATCGTAAGTTTTCAATTTCTCTTAGAAAAGTAATGGAATTAAATCGATTCGTAAACTTCCGTGCTTGGCAAATCGAAGAAATTCTTTTTAACTTGCTGGTTACAATTATTGTAAGTCTTAAGCTTCATAACTTTTGCTTAGGAGTTGAATACTTTTGTCTTTTTGTTTTTATTTCAGAATTTCAATGAATGAAACGCAAAAAAGAATCTCGAAAAGCGTTCAAAACGCGAAAGACATTACCGACCTTCTCTTTTGATGATTAGCTCATTAGCTTTTCTTTTCTAACAAAAACACCCCTCTTTGCTTTTTACTATTTCTTATTTCCTTTACTTCGTTGCTCGAAGGAGCATGAAGAGCCATTTGCTTCTCAAGCGGCACTGGTTGTGGACTACAATGATTTAAAAAAACTTTTCTGTTATAGTTTCCTGTTATGTTTTTTAATTAAGGGCAATTGAATTAGGTGAAAAAAATCGAAGTTGAATCTGAAAAGCGAAAATCTTCATACCACTTTTTTAACACACAACTTGATTTATTTTGGAGGAATCCGAATCACGGCTGACAGGGCTTTAATATGGTACCATCTTCCACCCACAGCGAGTTTTCCTTGATGTTCTTTAATTTGGGCGGAAAATAACGCAGCTTTTGCTCTAGTTTCTTCGGGGTGGTCGAAGAAGCAAAAACTCAATGAAAACTCAGACCACAGTTATTTCGTTCTGCAAAATAAAACGATAAAAGAATCTTTAATTTAATCGGATTTCATTTTTTTTGCGTAAAGAAATGCGCCAAAAAGCAAGCTTAGGACAAATTTCTAATGACTTTTAACGTTTAAAATTAAAATTTTGTTTTGTTTGGTTTTTTGCCCTTCATGATGCTTTTTGTTCTTAATTGTCCAAAAAGCTAAAGTTTCAAGCCAAATTTTCTCAACTTAAACAAAATATGAATTCTCATATAAATGTCAATCGAATGAAAGCTAAAATATCTTAAATTAGACATGCGAGCATTGTGTTATAATACGAGTCAACTTTTTTCACAATCCAACTCGCAGATAAAAGTGCTCATTTGGTAGAAATTTTGCTGCACAGTATTTTTGGTGGCGTCATCCGCGTTACTGGTTGCTAGTAATTTGGAATCTTATTGATAAGGGCGTAGATACCAGGTCGTGAGATTCTTGGGCGTTCGATTCCGGCTCTTGGCGAAAGTTATCCGGTTTTTGTCGTTTTGTCGCTTGGTTTGAAATGCTGCTTCGCTTGTGTATATGATATGTCTTTCTATGGTACCTGTTTTTGCCTAAAAAAGACACGTGAAGCCTTAGTTCTTTCTCCTTTAGTGACAGGAATAATTAGCTGGAAATTTTTGTTGTTTCAATGAATATGATTACGTTGTTCAGGTTCTAACAGCGGAGCAAGTATGGAAGGCAAATGAATGTGATTATAACTTCGACCACCCGGACGCCTTCGACTTCGAATTGATGAATGAGACTCTGAGGTCTCTGAAGGCCTTCAAGAGGACAGAAGTGCCCCAGTACGACTTCTCAACTCACTCCAGAATGAAGGATTGGAAGACCTACTATGGGGCCAATGTTATTCTGTTCGAAGGTCTGAGTAAAAGTTGTCATTCGTTGAAACATAAAGAGTTCTTCATCAAAATCATTCTGAACTGAATATATATATATATATATACCCCCATAAGCATCAAATATGCTTCAAAACCATACTGCTAGAAATTACTTGTATGAAATATTAACCATTCGAAACACAAATTAAATGACATCAATAATAATGACCATGTTTTACCAGCTTTCTACTAAAAAAACGAACTGAAATTGACTATTTAAAGAATTACCAACACTTCTGCGTAGGTATCTTGGCGTTTGTTAACAAAGAAGTTCGTGACTTGCTTGACGTGAAAATATTTGTGGACACTGATTCAGACATCAGGCTGTGTCGCAGACTATCGCGTGACATCAGTGAGAGAGGACGAGATTTGAGAGGTGTCTTAAAACAGTACGACAAGTTTGTCAAACCGGCCTTTGATTCGTACATCGAACCATCGAAACTCTATGCTGATATCATAGTACCACGCGGTGAGGTTCCTTACAGATTCTGTTTCTCGGCTTTCCTCGTGTCTTTAGATAAGTTGAATTTAAAGTTTCAATTATTAAGAGTCGATGAACGTAGTGAAGACACTAATATTGGTTGTGAGGATTTTTTGTTTCATCAAGAGTCAATGAGCGTAGTTAACTCTCATATAAGTCTTGATGGAATTGTTTGTTTGCATTTTTTTCCAGAAAAGAGTCTCAAAAATTATTCACGCTCAAATTCGATTTTTCCATCCCCTTCAATTTTGTTTGCCAAACTTTTCCAAGGGTCCCCCTTCGGTATAATTTTATAACATAATTTTTGGCTGGCTAACCTCAAAAATTTTTCGAAGGCGTTTTTGGCGCCAATTTAACTAAATTTGAATCAATTTAACTAAATGCATTTTTATTCAATTTTTAACGCTTGCAATTAGCAAGCGTTATCACTCCGGATTAAAGGCTCTTTTTCGAGTTAACAACTAATTAGTTTAACAGAATCTTTTGAATCATTTTACCTTTGGTTAGTATGAAATCAAAAGTCAGACATTAATTTGCGCACGTGGCCAAGAGTTAACGCACTTGCCTATAAAGATGAAGGTCTATGGTTTGAATCCGGCCAGGACTGTTTTTTTGTAAGCTGAAGTTGTCCTCGATTCAAAAAAGTCTTTGTCAAACTTCTGTTTCTCGGCTTTCAAATCAAATACTATTTCAGTGTTTTCCGGTTTTGGGCAACTTATTGAGTTCCAAGAAGTTTTGTCAATTTTTTAGGAACTTTTCGATTTTTTTTCATGCTGTTTATTAAACATTTTTGGAATTAGTTTTCTTGATAAATTCAAGGAGTGTTGTTCTCTGCAATTAGTCCAGTCGGGATCTGTTTTTGCGAAAGCTGAAAATTTTCGAATATTCTAGACTTTCGTGTCTGCTAATTTTTTGACGGCTTAGGTCCCGAAGAAAGTTTCGGTTGCTTTTTAATTTTTGGAGGCTCTTTTTGAAAGTTCTAATTTTGTCTTTTCATTTTTCATTTGCTGGTAGTCATCCGTTTTTGTATCTCTGAAAGGTCATTTTAGCTTGTTTAAGAGTCAATGAACGTAGTTCAGACTATTATAGAGGTCGAGTTGATTTTTAAAAAAATTTCAGAAAGAGCTAAAATTTGTTCAGGCTCAATTTCACTTTTTCGCAGTTTAATTTTTGATTGCTATTTAAGTACAGTTCATTTCCTTTGTTTTAAGGAAATCAAACTCGGCTATCGAACAGCAAAATTGTAAGGTGATTGCCTTCTAGTTTCGAAAGTGGAATTTAATTTTCAGATTTCCCAGCGAAATAAAAATTTTACCTGTTGATCCAGTTTTCTCAAATTGGATTAATTTTATCATCAAAAGTGTTAATCATAAAGTGTTCTTGATATCCCAAGAACTTTAAGGCAATATATTTTTCGAAATTGGAGTTCTAAAAAAAGTTTTTTTTTTGTTTTCTTGCGTTCATTGACTTTTTTCCAATTGTCTGTTGAATATATACAGTGGCGGTGCAAAGAATATTTCCCAAAATGGGGTCGTCGTAGTGTTTTCGGTGAGCTCAGAAACTCAAATTGGTCAATCTCAAAAAAGGGGTCGACAAATTTTTCAAATTGGTCAACCCCCCCCCCCCCCCCCCCCCCCCCCCCCAAAAAAAAATTGTTCCTGCCATTGCCAGCGAATTAAAAAAATTTTATCGATAAATTTTTATTTTTTTCTAAACGGGAATAATTTCATTCAACACATGCCAAAAATGAAGGGTTCTTAAACTTCCAAGAATTGTAGCGTGATGTACTTTTTCTTCAAAAGTTGAAAATTTTATATCAATTTTTTCGGTTTTCGTGTTCTTTTAAAACTTTTAAAGCATTCAACCATACTATGAAGTGTTATTTTTGTGTGTGACATAGGTTTTTTTAGGAGTTTCAAGTTTCATTTATTTTAAAGCTCAAATTTTCAACTCACTTCAGATTTAGTCTTAGCTACTTGCGGAGCCCAATGGTTCATACGCCTTCGTTTCAAATCAAATACCACCATCAGTTTAGAAAGTCTCTAGTGATTGTATGTTACATCAAATTTTAGCTTTGAAATATAATGGCGAGTTCAACTACAGGTTACAAGTATGATAATTGGGTCCCTAAAACATAGATGGGTCCCTGAATAAAGCTTTATGCACCTTAAATTTTTTGTGAACGGCTTCTGCATTTTTTTTGCCTTTTGAGTTTTCATAAATTTGTGAGACCCATCTTTCATACTTTCTTTTATTAGGGTCTTAACTATCATATTTGTACCAACTACAGGGGATGGTTTCTGATGGAAACTGAGTGCTGTTTTATCTTGTTCAGGAGCCGAGAATGAGATAGCGATTGACATGATTGTGAAGTTGGTGAGCAACAAGTTTCTGGAAGCAGGCACCACCATCCGAGCTGAGCTGGATCAACTTAACCACCGGCAAATGGAAGGAGCAAAGCCCAACCTACTCCCACAAACCAACTCAGGTAAAACCTTTGCTTGTAACGTAAATTGATGAAACAGAGGCGAGGCGAAGCTTAACACCACTTGCGATACAATACAATTACAGCATGGAAAGCTAACCGACAGAAAATGAGACAAAAATCTGCAGAGAAAAATTTTGAACTCTTTTTTGAAATGGCGCCACCAAAATGTTCACATCTTTGTCTTGATTTTGTCTGCAATAATTTTTTTTCTCAAAAACATCCAAGTAAGACAATTTGATGCTGATTAAGCATCGAAATAAAACTTATAGAGCGGTAATATTGCCGACAATACCACAGCAGACACATATTGAGCCGCAAAACTAAAGTCTCCTTTCCAACCATTTTGTTAACAACCTGCTTTTGCTCATCAACGACTCCAAATGAGGCAGCAAAGTCGATCCGAATAAAAAAGGATAAAAAACTGACATACTGAAGCTGGAGTTGGTAAATTTACAAACAGCGTGAAAAATAATTATTGAATAGAACGGGCACTTTAAATCGAGAAATTCTCTAAATGCGTCAGTTAGTTGACGAAATTAGAGAATTGGAAATGAACACCAGTATGAGTCGTCCCGTGAATATTGTTTTTCTGGAAAAAAAGTCTAGTACCAGTTTGCAACAACGTAGCTATTCGCAAGGGTAATAAAATGAAGTTATTTAACGAGAAAAATAAATTTCTATTGAGTGAGTTTTCTTAAAAACTATTTCGCTTGCGATCAAGCAAGCGTTATCAAATCGAAACATAGGTTTATTAAGAAAAATGAATGAAGTATTTTTTTTTCAGGGAAAAGTCTTTATGATGTTTTTCAAGTTCAATGCATTTCCTTTTTTTTACACAAGCAATGCTTGTGTTATAGTATGAACTATCTTTTTTTCTAACCTGTGTCGCAAATATTGCTGCGACGCAAATATCGTTGCGATAAAATGTGTTCACTTTGAAAGTGTTCTTCTTGATCAGTAACCAACTATTAAGTACAGCCAATGCTAATGATTTTAACACAGACTATTATTGTTCGGACTTTCGTAACGAAAGTAACGGAATACTTGTGCTCGGGGTGGTTTTTTTCTTCAGACAATTTTCGACTTTTTAACAAGCCATTTTTGACAGGATTTTTATATCATTCAAAAGTATTGTTGTTCTGAGATTAAATTTGGAAAGATATTTTACCTGTGATCATTTTTCGTAAAGTTATGGGGGTTTAAAGATTCCATTTTGGCCTAATGGGACAATAAACGCGCGATATATTTCGCGCTATTAACGCGTAAGCTGTTAATCACAGAAAAAAATCTCAAATTGCAAAAAAAATTTATTTATCACATTTCATTTTTTCATGTTATAACTGCTCCATATACATGCCAAATTGAGGCATGTTAGTTGCTAAATTTTTTTTAAGTTGACTGGTACTGCTAAGTAGCGTTTTTCCCAGTAGCGTTATCGGTCATATTTTTGCTTGTGTATGCGAAGTGCAACTTCGCCTCTGTGTAAAAGGAAGGCAAAATCCACTATCGAATAGCAAAGATTTAAAAGTCACGAAAAACGTGCTCGACTTCTAGTTTCGAAAGTGGAATTTAATTATCAGACTTCTCAGCGAAATATAATCTTTACGTATTGATCCAGTTTTCTCAAATTGGGTTAATTTCAGGAAAAAATTGTCAATTATAAGTTGTTCTAGAAATTCAAAGAGGTTTAAGGCCATTATTTTTTTCTGCGAAATTCGAAGGTTGATTTTTTCAAAACTCAGCAATTTTTTTCTTTCTTTGCGTTCATTACTTTTTTCCATCTGTCAGTTGCCTATGTTTTCTTATGTCGAGTTTTCAAACTTCTAAATCATGTGTCTAACAGAATCACTGAATACTTTCGTTAAACTCAGTCGGAGACTTGAGGTGACCGATGTATTTTGAGCATGTTTGCAATTTGCATACCTATTCAGTCGACATTGCCTATTTAGTTCCACTTCACTTAGTTATTTAGTTCGAATTAGTTTGATCCATAGAAAACACTCCCTTTAATTTAGTGGCTTTCATCTCATTTTATGACGGCGAGCTTGACATGTTTTTTTTTTTTTTAGCATTTCTAGTGGTGCGAAGCTCCATTTCTCACTTCTGTTTCTATGGATCACTCATCTGTCAAATATATCTATGTGAAGCGTCGAGGGATGCCTAAGAAACTTGTAATGGACGTTTTTCGAGATGAGCTCGTGTTTTAAAACAAACTTCTGCTGTGATTTTTGCGAGGAAATTCTCAATTTCGACGCCATTTCTCAGCAGCGTCTTTTGCGCACTGTTCTAAAAGGATTTGTATTTTACATAAATCGTAGAATAATTGATGTTTCAGTCCGCGCTCTGCACACGAAGTTGAGGAATAAGAACACCCCACGTGACCAGTTCATTTTCTACTCTCTCCGACTGATGAGGTTATTAGTTGAGTACTCTCTTTCTCTTCTGCCATACGAAGAGAGTGCAGTCTCTACCCACATGGAAAACCCCTACCGAGGTAATTGAATCATGAAGCACCGACATCAAGAAATTGATTTGAAGTCCACCGTTATCCGTCCTCGTTGCCTGAGGCCCGAGGTTGAATTAGTTTGCTTAAGATGTTGCAAATTCTAGGCCTCAAATTCACTGGCGCAATCTCAGCGGTGAGCGTACTTCGATCCGGCGAGACCCTTGAACAAGCTGTGGCAGAAGTAGTGAAGGATGCCAAAATAGGCAAACTTCTCATCCAGACGAACCCAAACACGTTGAACCCTGAACTGTACTATCTGCGGCTGCCAAAAGATATCAAGAATGACTTTGTGCTATTGCTGGACTCCACTGTGACATCTGGTGCTGCTCTGTTAATGGCCATCCGCATCTTGCTCGATCATGAAGTGGAAGAGGAAAAAATTATCGTGCTGACTCTAGTCGTCTCGCAAAGAGGTTTTTTTGGCATCTTTTGATTTAATGAAAATGCAACAGCCAAAATTCGATTCGCCAAGAAAACTTTGAAGGTGTTTTTCATCAAAAAATTCATTGGCTTGCTCTGTTAGATAGCAGTAGACCACAGATTTTGGTAACTTGCCTGAAAATAAAGTTTTACAGATACTTTTTGGGAAAACTAACGTAAATTATGGCAGATATCGCACCTATTCATTTCAACGAACTAGTTTTAGCATCTTGTTTCATGCACATTTTTGGAAAAATCTAACTTTTATGGGTCAATAAATGAAGTAAAAACGAAGGACAAGCCATCAAAATACCTTTCTTCTTTAGATCAAAACTGTTTTTTTTCCATGTTAATCTCAGTCATTAGTTTATTTCTAGCTGACAAGGAAGCTCAAAGTTAGGTAGAGTCAAAAGAATTGCTAAAATGTGATCAAATTTGCTTCAAAGCGCCAGTTTGTATAATTTAACTTTTTTCGACAATTTTTGGTCTGAAGAAAGATTTAGCGAAACTTGGTGATGCATTTTCGATGTCGCCCATATGCCAATGCCTGAACAAGATTTCTATTGAATATGGGTTTTCAAAAAATTTTCTATAACTGTGTTCGTAGGTATGAGTTGAAACGATTTTTTTAAGCAGCAGTTTGGTACTTCAGCATTCGTTTACGCCTTCGATGGCTGAAAAATGTTGCCCAGTGGGCAGTGTTTTAGAAGTTTCAAAATTGAAAATTATCCCTCTTCCGACTTTTTTTTCTCGATGATTTATTATGTGAAGTACAGTTCAGGTAGAAAAGGAATGGGATCAAGTTAACATCCTCCCTCAGATAGACCAAGTTAAGATCTTCCACCCCAGCATTTAATTCGCATTAAATTTGCTAGGAGCTGCATGGAAAATGCTCGTTTCTGATTGGCTGAAAATCGTAAACTTAGAAATAAGTTAACATCCCCCCAAACGGCTGGGGGAGGGGGAGGATGTTAAATATGTTCAAGGAATGTTTTTGATGTTTCGGTTATATCGTCCAAATTAGTCTTCGTGGTATTTCTTTGCATTCCTTTATATTGATGCCAGAGTCATTGTAGGTTTGAATGCCGTTTCTTACGTGTATCCCCGCGTGAAGATTGTTACTTCAGCTGTTGACGATATCGACTCTGACAACAAACATTGTCTGGTGCCTGGAATCGGCAGTTTCGGAGACCGGTTCTTCGGAACTGACATCTACTCAACAAGCACCAGCTTGGGGACTGCGAAGTTAGAACAATTACTGCAGGAAGTGAAAGACGAATCAAGGTCGTCGTGCAGCGAAGATATCGAAGATTATGAATCATAGACGAAAGAAACTTCAAAAAGTGTATCCTAGAAGCATTCATATGTGATGTTCATATGTGACGACGTTGGCTAACGCTCTATAATTCAGCTGTGAAACTTGGTTTAAAATGTTTCCCTTTGTTTTCGTTTCATTTTTGTTTCAATCTATAATTTAGGCGCTCAGCTATCATACTTGTACTTGGTATTGTTTGTGTTCAATTAATACTCTTGATTTAGTGTTAATCTATTTGCCGTTTGATTAAATTTTCATTCCGCTGTATGTGGAAAATTCACCTCATTTGCTTGCAATATTCTATCCAAGAAAACTCGATAATTTATCGGTTAATTTGTACTCTATTTATTGACAGAATATTTGGTTGCTACCATATTCAAAGTTGCTACGATTGTTTTTCGTTTTGAGAGTTCTACTTTTTTTCGAAAAAGGTCTAGTTAAGTGCTGAATGTAGTTTCAAAGCAACTCTTTCCTTCTGTTCAGAAGAAAAAAAAAACTATTCTTACGGGTTTTTCAACACAACTGCAGTGATCGTCGACCATTTTTGTCGACCATTTTGTTAGGTCGACCAAATGGAGTTCCGAGTGGTCGCAAGTTATTATAAATACCGTATTTGTACAACAAAATTTCGCCGCAGGCAAATTTTTGAAAAAACAATTAAGCCGTTTTTGAGCACTTTTTGGAAAATTTTGCCAGAAAAATTGCGTTTTTTGGAGCGCGCTCCTCGAAATATTATAAAGTGGCGCCAAAGTCGCCTTTAGAAAAGTTTTAGGGTCGGTCGGCCAAAATTACTAGAGGGGACCCTTTGAGCGACCAGGAATTGCAATCCCTGAGGCGGGGGGGGGGGCGTCTGCCCGCCACCCCACTAAGTCCGCCCCTGGTTAAAGTGAAGTAATTGAGCAAACTCAAGCTCTAAATGTTCAATTCAGCTTTCCACTCAGCAAAAAAAAATAAAAAACCCAGCAGAAGACGATTCAAAAACAAGTAGGTGGTTGATGAGCAAGAAGAACGAGGTCGATTGATCGAGTAAAAGTTCATTTATAACAGAGTCGACAAAAAAAGTGAGCGTCCGTTGCCTCTTGGAAAGCGAGTTATCACGAGGTAGGTTTTTGTCATAGATAGAAAATAACCGCCTAAATGTGACAACTTCGGTCAGTTTTTGCCACTATGACTACTTGTTAATCTGACCATTAAAAATAGGGAGGAACTTTGTATTCGGGTGTATTAGTTTTTTTTCCGCAAAATTAGGTGAAACAGATAATCATCGTATTGCGTTGAGTGATATATCATATTGAATTCCTATCAGTGATGATACAAATAAAGTTATCCCAGTGTCGAGAAAAACTGATTCGAAATTTTGAGATGTAGTCTAATTTCGAGCGAGTGACGCTCGTTATATGGAAATTAACTGTTTTTAAGACTTTTAGGATTAAAAAAGTCCATTTTACTATAAAAAAAACGAGTTTTGGATATTTACTTTAGCGCTTGTTTGGCAAAACAAGGTTTTCTAATTTCAAAAGTTATGTTGAAATTTTTCTTAATTTCATTTTTGAAGACAATTGTTTTATTGCTGATCATGTCTAATTCACTAGTTTTCTCACCGATGGTTCTCGAATCATGCCACCCATATAAAACTACTTTAATTGAAGAAAATTAAAAAAAAAATTATATTTTAAATATGGTCGTAACATTCTGTGCTAGAGTGCTCTCAAGTTGCATTACAACGTAAGTTTATGGCAAATAGAATTTTGTGATGTTCGTTTTTTTACTTCTTGGAGAAAGGGAACATTACTCAGCCCAGAAAAACAGCTAAAAAATAAATGCATGCATATGTTAACTAGATGCACAACATAGGCTCCTCGTGAAGAGCTGAGCTGCTCATATGTTGATCCTTTGTCAATAAATCGACTGAATATTAGAACGATGAATATAATAATTTTCTAAAAACACGAAAATCGAACATGAGTGTCATCTAAGAGCAAGGAAAATCCTCAGCCAAATCAAAATCTTTTTAGTTGAATACACTGAAAAAGTTTCGCTTGTGTAGTGGTACCAAGAAAGCGATGAATTAGTGATTGAAGACTCTAGCACAAGATTCATACAAAATAGAGAATTCAAAATCGAGAAATGGTCAATTACGAGGCCCAACTGTTTGCGTTGTGTACTGTAAGTGTTCCGCAATTAGACCGCTATCTTTGATTTTTCTTTGATCTTTTGTTCGTGCCGGCAAAATCTTAGCAAATTTAAGAACTTGTGTTGGGATTCCAGAAACGTAACACCTAAGTTTCCGCCTATCCAGTACAAAATTTGGCCTCGTAAAGTAATTCATACAAAAGAGAAGTCAACAAAAAATTTCGTTTGTGCCGACAAAGCGATTAAATGGTATATCATTCAATGTCAAAGCCATTGTATGAACTACAATTTCAACATTTTTTTGCGGTATGATTAAACAAAGAAAGCTGTGTTTAATTCTCTATTTGTTTCAAATTATTTTTCCTCAATTTTAAACACTCTTCTTAAGAACGTATGAACAACTATTATAGTGTTCTAAACAAATCGCGTATTTAAAAGGTTTATGCGATATTGTGTTTTTTAAACAACCTAAATTTAGTCCACTGACAGTTATGTGCCCCAAGTCTTCAATGAACCAGCTGAAACGCAAACTGAATCAATGGGTACTTTTTTACTTTAAAAACTGAATCTACTTTCAAAGGATTTCGTTTGCGTCAATTTAACTATAATTATTCGAGTACATTCATAGTGAAAATTCTTAAACTACGCTTGCTAGTTTGCATGTATGAGCAAAAAAATCTTGAAGCAACTGCTCCGCACCACACCATTAAAAACATTGATTAATGTTAGTCTAAAACTTCGAAATTTGCTCAATTTTAAACAAGTTCTTTTGAAACTAAACTGGTTCATAGGAAGATACATGGTGGTCATAAATCTTAAACTATTCAAGATTTTGGTTTTTGAAAATCCCAGGCCCTGAATAAAATCAAATCGCGCAAAATTATTGCATTTTACGTCTCAAGCAGAAGCAATACTTTTTCTCTGAGTGGGCAGCTGAGGCTGCAAAAACGTAATTGTTCCGACTTTCGATACGGAAGTAACGGAATATTTGTGCTCGGGGTGGGTTTTTTTTTTCTTCAGACAAAATTCGACTTTTTAACTAGCCATTTTTGACGGAATTTTTTTATATCATTCGAAAGGTATTGTTGTCCTGAGCTTAAATTTGGAAAGATATTTAACCTGTGATCTTTTTTCGTAAAGTTATGGGGGTTTAAAGATTGCCATTTTGGCCAATTTGGGACAATTAACGCGCAATATAGTTCGCGCTATTAACGCGTAAGCGGAGAGTTAATCCGTCTTAGAAATCGTTCCAAATTGGTTTAACGAAGCTTATTTGCCATAATTGATTTGTTACAAGTAGCGAAATCTATCCTTTTGTACTTTATATAACGTGTGGGGTGATGATTTTTATTTTAAAAAATTTCAAATAAAAAAAATTTATTTTGTTTTTTTACTTTTAATTTTTTAATGTTATTACTGCTCCATAAACCTTAATAGGCAGTCGGAACATTCAGGGCTTCGCCCTGATACGGGCAGTCTTGTTGACGTTATGTTTCCAGAAAATTGTTTTCAATGTGAAATATCTAAATCTCAATTACAAGAAAAGTATTTTTACTAGTTTAGTTAGTCCATTAAGATGACCAAATGTAATTTTCAGCCAATTTAGTTTATGATACATGATACTTTTTGATGTAAGGTAGAAAAATTATAGCAATTGCTGGTTTCCGTGCCTTTTTTGGCATGAAAAATGAATCTTAAAATTACAAACAAATTGGCAATATAGTATTCAAATTCAATTCTAAATCTCAAGTGTGAAATCTAATTCAATTAATGAGCTAAAAAGCATCAACTGCGTTTACTCAAAACAAAAAAAAATCGCCAATGCTGTCTACTTATTGAAAACTGCCACCATGTAGCATTTAGTAGCATTTTTAAGAGTTGTGCCAAAAGTAGCTTTTTTGCAACTGAAGTTGGAAAAGAAGTCCGTCGTAGAATCACACAACCAACTCTCCACTCGCTTAAATAATATCAAGCAGACAAGCAGCAACAAATTTGTTTTAATTTCGGGCGAACCCTAGTCAATAAACCCATCGAACAGGAAAAAAAAGGTTGGCAAATAACAGACCGTAAAACACAAACACTGAAACGTCAATTGTTGAATCTATTTAGTTTGTAAAGTTTATTAAATTTTTAAAGTTCAATATGAGGCCAAACTGTGCACTGGATAGGCGCAAAATTTTGTGTCTGTATGTTCCTGAACTCCAGAGACAAGTCTGGTAATGTTCCAAAATGTAAGTGAAAAGTGGATTCTACTTACAAAATTTCCGTGGATTCCGCGTACAAACATTTGTAACGTAAGTTTTGTCGGCACATTAGTTTTGTTGCAGACTCCGCAACGAGCGAATAAAGTTAGTTTTTCCGGATTCGGCAAATGTACGTGTAAATCCGCAAATTTATGCAGGTTCCGCCTATAATTTGCGGATTCCACTTACAGTTACGAATTCCGCAACAGCTAAGTTAACTAAACACATATATTATTATTTGCTTATTGACTCCACAAACTGCTCCGGATTCCGCAAATTTTGTTGCGGATTCCACAAACTTTGATGCAGATTCCGAAAAGTTGCCTGTTTTTGGACTGATTTTGAGCAATACAGTGTTTTAGCTATCTTTCCGTGGAATCCAAAACAGCAAAGATCAAAGAAAAATAGCAGTATTGCGGATTCTGCAGCTTTTCTGTTTTGGGCCCGTTGCGGATTCCGCTTATAATTCACAAAATGCCCAGCTTGGCCTCCTAATGTTTAAACCTAATAATTTTTTGTTGAAAACAGCTTGTTAAAGCTATGAATTCATAGGCTTTTATGGAATAAAAGTTAATTGATTTAACATTTTTCTACACTAAAACAGATTTTTTCTCAATTTCAAAATTCAGTTGGAAAAATTTTAAAAAACATAGGAATTCTTGTTCTTGAAAGTGTTTAAAAATACAGCAGTGTTCTATGCAGCATTTTTTTGGCATCCACGAGGAATAGTCGATACTCGATCCCGACATTACTGTCTGAAGTTTGGCCAACTATTCTTGACCGTGCAGCTAGTCATGGTTCCATACCTAAACAAAAATATACCGCAAAAGAGATATACTTTTGAAAACCCTTGTCTCAGTACTTCTGGCAATCGTTTTTATGAATACAATAAAGTGAAGGCTTTACAGAATTGTGCCAAAGCCTTCCAATTTAATTGAAGCTGGTAAATATTGAATTTAAAATGACAAAAAAAGTAAATATCAATCAAGTTTCATCTTTTTCAAACGCGTTTAGTTCACGGTCTTTTACTATTTCATTGTATCTCAGTTTAAATTCCAGTTCACTTCTTAGTTCAGTAGATAAAACATTGTTGATTTAAGTTTTACTCAGCTTCAAGTTTAGTTAACAATGCGAAATCATGTTCAGATCATATTTGTACTGTTGTTCGTTAACGGTTACTGCTTTGTCACACCTGGTTTTGGCCGAAAAATGACAGATCAAAAGCTATCGAGTGTTTATCTCCATACCTTGAGTTTAGGTAGATTGCGCGAAACTTCATCAGATAAGGACAAAAAAGAAGATGAGAAGAAAAAGTTAGTTATTGATGGCCAAAAAAATTATCTCATTCAACATATTCGCAACTCAGTGGCGTGCGCAGAAATTTTTCTTGAGTGAGGGCGGTTTTTTCGAAATATTTCGAAAAATTTTTGGACCTTTTTTTAGGTCGACCAATTTGATTTTCTGAGCTGTCCTAAAAGGATCCTATTATGTCAATGATTTGCTGCGCGGCAGGCAAAGTTTTAAAAAAAAACAGGCCAAAAAAGGCGTTTCTAGACAATTTTTAGAAAATTTCGACCAAAAAATTGCGTTTATTCGGCGCGCGCTCCCCCCTCAAAATAAGTATATTTTGGCGCCAAATGCGCCTTCTGAAAAATTTTTGGGTTAGTCAGCCCAAAAATAGATATCTTAAATTTATACCAAAGGGATACCCTTTGGAAAAATATGGCAACCAGAATTGAGTTAGTCAGCCCGCCCGCTGCCGGGTTGACCAAAAATGCTTGTCATACAATTTTCATATATGAAGAAATGGTTATCATACACTTTTCATTCAATTCCATTAGAACAGAAAATTACAAGAAAGGTTTATGATTAGTAATTTTTTATATATGGAAATTTTATGACTAGAATTTTCCCAAAAATCAAAGAAAATTGATTTTTTTTTTAATTTAATTTCTCAAAAATTTTGGGATGTGTTTGTGACCGAACACAAGTGACAAAAACCATTGTTTACTCAAAACTAGAGTCACCAAAGGTCTGATTGTCTTGCATTTACAATGCATTGGAAACGACCTGAACTGTATAAGAACTTGTTACTCAAATCATACACAAATTTTTCTATTTTCCAGGATGATTATTTTTTTTTATTTTGAATTTTTAAATAATCAAACAATGATCAAGGCATACGTCTATCTGTACTTTTTGCTTGCAACTCCTTATGTTTGAACAGACAGATGGAGGATTGCAAACACGAATGCAAAAATGTGACAAGCGGCAGGCAGCGCTACAAATGCTTGGAGGAGTGTATGAAAAACACATCAGGAAAAAAGTTGTCAAAACTGACGAAGGAACATGGGCAATATATCTAGAGATTATACATGGAAAACAAGAAGACAGGAATACATGAATACGTGACTCTGCAAGTAAAATTTTCTGAGGATACATAAAACAAGTCAACATTATTGACTTATTCTAGAAGTGGTCAAAACAATTGACGATACCTTTTTGTTATTTAGTTTTTCTGAATTTAAATTTCTGTAATAAATTGAAAAAATAGGAAAAATATTCAGCTAAACATTATATCCTTAATACTTTTAACAGTTTGCATGACACCATAAGAGGTATCAAAAAACGACAAATTGGAGCTTTATGTACTTCGTACCTCCTCTAGCAACTGATACCAGGCACCAATGGATGCATTTTAATAAAGAGTGCAAATTATGCATTTAAATCGCCGAAAATATTAATACAGATACCAAAATTTGCCACGAAAAACAAACAGAAAGTTGTTGTGTATGTTTGAAACCCGTTACTTGCGGGCGATTGCACTAGTAGTTTATGCTTTGATTGTCTGGCTCTTCTTAGCTGAGATTCAAATCAAAGACACTGATTTAATTGAAGAATCAAGTGCAAGTAAAAAACTATCTGAACGAAGCAGACACTAAATAGTTTGTATACGCATGATGTGAAAACAGAAAAAAAACAATTGAGAAAAATGCTGTCGTAGCTTTCCGACTCGTCTGCTAATACTTTAAAATCTTTTATTTTTGAACGAACTACAGTCATGGGTCATAGAAGCAACTCTTTGATTTCAACAAGAGAACGAAGGAGATTTTTCTTCACTTTTTGTTCGTTGCAAATACAAGATAGAACAGCATAAGTTAAAAAGAGTTGATTTTTTTTGCATTTTTCAATGATCAACCAAGTTGCGCTTTGCTGTTTCTTTTGCTCTAAGGGTATATTTGAGAGAACAAGTTTTTTGAACAAAAAACTTAAGCTTACATGTTGTAGAGCTTTAATTAGTTTTTGCACAAACACCAAATGTTAAGTTTATTATTAACACTACTCACTTTTGAACAATGTGGCGAATGGCACATTGACAATCTAAGGCTTCTGCATCAGAATGGTGACCAGAATGCCATGTCGTGTAGTCCACTCACCCCAGTTCAGAAGCTTCTCGCAAAGGATCATCGACTCCCAGATGTTGCCCACCTTCTTCTGTGGAAAAGAAACAGAATCTGAGAATATAAAATAGCAATTGCGAGTTTCTTCTATTGAATGAGAATTACAAAAGAAAAGCGCATTTGGATTAAAAAAAACTGATCATCAGACACTGAAGCAAAAACATCGACTCAAATGTCTTGGGAAGTATTTAGAAGAAAGTCTAGACATAGAATTGTTTCAAAAACGGGTTTTCAATTGAATACTTATCAAGAGGACAACAGAAAATTCGGTCTATGTTAAAAGTACATGTCTAGACCGAATTTTCTGTTGTCCTCTTGATAAGTTTTCAATTGAAAACCCGTTTTTGAAACAATTCTATGACTCAAATTTTACTACATTCGAGTTTTTGTGAAGCAGCCACAGATGAACAAACAAGCACTGATAAATCATGGTTTTGACCAAATTGAAACTTGGTGAAGTGAAACTTTTTTCACTATGTTTCGCTTCATCATAAACCTCAATCCGTTGCTTGATTGTTCTTTAAAACAGTCGACTTAATTTAGATTCCCGTTTTTAATCAATCGTAGCTCTTTTTACGAGACAGCAATTTTCAGTTTTTTCTTCCAAAATCCAAGATGGAGTAATCAAGTGTGTTAAAATTTGTCGAAAAAAATTTCTTCATATTCTTCAGTTTTATGCTGACTTTAATTGATATCTTCGTCGAACTTATATCAAAATTTTTCTTGATTTTCAGTAATACGTGACAACTTAACATCAATTTCGAGTTATATCTACCTTTTTATCCCAAGCAAAGTCATCCCATTCACAAACAACCCGAGAGAATAGCCCATAATGAAGTAGCCTACTCAAATTAAAATTTCCTATCTAGGGAGTTCAAGCAAACAAAACATCGTACAATAAATGAATCAGAAGAATTACAACCAAGATGTCGTATTTCAGCAAAGTGATCAAAGCAGGGCCAAATTTTGAAAAGGCGCGTGAAATCAAATTCAGTTCGAAGAGTTAAAGTTCGATGCAAGTTCTAAACCAAAAATAATTCGAACTACCAAAAAAAAGATTACTCATTGCCCCCAAAAACAAACGAACAATTTATTTGGATTCAATAGTTCGGAAAAAAACTGTCTCCGAAACATTATGTACTGGGTCATCGGTATGGGAGTAAGAGAAAAGTCAAAAAGGACTGTTGTATTGGCTTCTACCTTCCCCAAAAAAAGTACCCCTACTGTGACCATAAATCAAAAACCATATGACTTTTGCAAAAACAAAAAAGCCTAAAAAATTTTGATAATTTGGCAAAATTTAGATCGCCCAAATTGATTTTTTGAGCGGCCCCAGATAAAGAACTCTGGCAAAACTTTCTGCAACGCAGGCGAATGTTGAAAAAAAAAGCTGATCAAAAATTACTTTTTTGGGCGTTTTTTGAAATTAGTATATATTGGCATTAAACTTATGAATTATATAAATTGCCTAATTTAAATTTAGGGTTAGTCGGCTGAAAATGGTGTCGAGAAGGTAAAACGATCGTCGAGCAATTGTTAATTCCGAGATAAAAATACAGTCAACTTAATCTTGCAAAGTTAGCATAAAGAGTGGTTAGAAACAGTATCCAAGGGTGACAGACTGTTCCAAGGACAAACACCTGCTAATGAATTAGTCTAGCACCAAGAGTGAACATTTGATTGACAGCTTTAGAAATGAACTAATTTACTCAATACAACACTTCTCTTTCGATAATGAAAACTTTAGTTAAGTAGAAATGATTTCGCTGGTTGACTTTAATGACTGAAATAGATGGTTGAAAATAGGTGGTTGATTGATCATAGATAGTTGAAAAGAATTACTAGCTTCATGTTACAATTCAGGATACAATTCAGAATTTAATAATGACGACTTTTTGTTAACAACTAAAGGATCACTGGTCAGTGATAGCGATTGAGTTTTAAGCCACTAATGACTCACCCTCTCCCTGGGTTAGAACAGTTTAACGAAGTTTCTCAGTTTTAAAGATCAATTGTTTCCTTCCTTGTTCTGATTGATGAAGTCAATCATTACGCTCCCCATTTTGGTGACCGCCGTTCTTTTTCGCCCGCTTCTTCTAGACGTCGTGGATGATGTCTCGTCCTGGCTCTCCCCCTGGCTGCTGTATGAGACCAGTCTTGCTTTCTTGGATGAGGCTCCCTTTTTCTTGCTGATGGTGATCGGTTTTGTCGGGTCCCCTGGATTTGTCGTTCCTTGCACCCCTGGATTTTGATGATCCAACTCGCCGCCTTGTGCCGGAATGGTGTCCTGGTCAGTTTCAACTTCGGCCTCTGGTAGTGCTGTTGCTGAACGTTCTATACGTGCTTCAGGGGTGGTAGTTTCTTGCTGTTTGGTACGTTTTACCGAGATAATCGGTAGGTCCTCGCTTTCCTCTGATTCAGAGTAGGTTTCTTCGAATCGGCGCCCGGTCCTCTCTCGTTTCTTTTCCGCAATTCGCCTGGTCGATCGTTCCTTTACTTCGCGCGGAGTCGGCGGTGGTAGTGTTGTTTGAGTTGCTCGTTTTTTCAGTTCTTTCAATGGTACCGGTACTACGGATTTGGTTGCAGTTTTTGTTTTCTTTGGTATGGGCTTCGTGGCCACTCCCGATTTCCTAAGCACAACCCCGTTATCTAACGTTAGTGTATGTGTACTCTCAGATTTAATTTTAGAATGAATTGGTCTATACCTTTTTAGGTTTTTGTTTCCAGTGCGCTGAAACAACGATCCGGATGGTCCCGGTTGTCCTGTGGGATTCGCACTTCTACGTATCGACGGTTCGTCGTCTTGATTTTCCGATTGGTCTACAGTAAGGCGTCGTGCATGGGTCCTGTTTTTAATATCGTAGTCGAGATCTGATCGTACACTCCAGTTTGTGTCGGCTGGATGGGGCATATCTTGCACATTAGGATCGGTGGTATCTAAACAAGCATTTTTTGTTTTTATAACCCGTGACCAATCCAGATTTTGCAGCGATGGTTTTTTAGTAAGATTCCGTAAAACTGTGTTTGCTTCTCTACCATGATGAGCTTCAAAAGGCGAAGTTTTAAGTGTTGAGTTTTTTGAGAATCTGAGAGCACCAAGGGCCCGTTCGATCATTTTCTCCAAGGGTTCAGGATTTTTTTCGTGAGCGAAGGTAAGGATTGAATTCTTAAGACTTCCAATAGTACGCTCGACGCACCCGGTTGCCCGATGGTCGTTCACTGGTGATTTAATGATTTCAATGCCTTCCCCGTTACAAAAAGCTTTGACCGCGTTCGACATGAAACTAGTTCCCTGATCAATGTGGATTTTCCGTGGCACCCCGTGGCATGCTATATAACTCTTCAAGAGTTTCAATATTTTGTCCGATCGATTATTTCCACAGACCATTGCCGATGGCCAACGAGAGAACCGGTCGACCGCCACTAGTACATATTTTGAGGATTCATTTAAGTAATTGATGGGGCCCCAAAAATCTAATTGGACAGATTCATTTGGTTCTTTTGGTTCCGGTACGGATCCCAGTTGATTTTTATTTATTAACGTCTTTAAGTTCTTACCAGCTGCAGTACATTCAGGGCACCCTTCGGCAATGGAAGCTATTGAGCGGTAGATGTAGGGATACCAGACATCTTTTGCGGCATCGAACATATTTGACTTCCCGTGATGGTACGCGTGGATTTGGTTATTAATTGCTGACTGGAGGTTAATTGGAATTGCTAATTTATCATCCATCCAAACTACATTTTCCTTAACTGAGAAATCATTGACGAATTGAGCATGATAACGGCTCATTTGAGTAACTTTTTCATGAATTTCAGGATCTTGTGTAACAATGAGATCGCGAATAGCGCTCAGTTGGGGGTCCGATACATAATTTGATTCTATGAATTTTAAATTAAACAGGTCAGGTAATGAAGTAGTTTTGTTAACGATCTTACAATTTCGCGGGATAATTGACATACATACAAGGTTTGGGTCCACTGGTGGTACTGTTTCTCCTTTGAATTCCGAGGGTAACGAGAGAGTTGTATTTGTGCGTATTGATCTTGTCTCTTTGGTGATGGCTTCTAGTGATACATT